TTTTTCTAGTTGGCTAATAAACCAACTAGAAAATTGTAAATGAATATCTCTTCGATCCAAATATTGTTTTGCTGTAGTTAATTGATATAACCAACGGGTTGAGATAGGTTTTTGGTATTTTTTAAGATTATAATTAAGCAATGCTTTATATAATTCGCTAATTTTTTCTGTTTTCATATTTAATGGATTGTCCTTATCAGATTCATTATATCCGCAATGAAGATAATAAGCCAAGTTAAGAACATTAGACGGATGTGGCTTTAAACAAATTCCCGAAAGTGAATTAATTTTTCCAAATGCTGTATCATTAAAATGTACTGAAGCTATATGTAATGCATGTAGGCCACAAGGAATCCGAGTTGCTTTCGCTGAATATTGCCGATTAAATTTAATAACTGCACCAGCTATTGATCCTGACATATAAGCCGTATTATCAGTAAGCCAATATTGACACTGTGCTGGATTTAATAAATTTTTGCTAATAGCTTCTCCAACACTTAAGGATACTGTAGATGCTGAACAACGATCCAAATCTTTCATATTAAGAATAGTAAGCATAGGTTCTTGTTTGTTTTCATTCCAATAAGCTATACATACTAAAAATATTTTTTTTTCTCCTCTAGTACTTTCGTCTGCTAAAATTCCATATGAGCTAAATCGATTTAAAAATTGAGGTATATTGTCTTGTATAGAAATTTCTGCTACTTCTTTTGTCCATCGTGATAAAGTACTTGGAGATAAGCACGATCTAGAAGGCTGACCTGTAAGAAATGTTATAATTTCTTTCGTGCATTGTACTGTTGATGAAATCGAAATTTGACCAATAGTACTTAATTTTGTAGCCATAGAAACAAATTCAGTTGTATATTTACAATTATTTTGCTTAATTTTTTTAACTATAGCTTTTTCGATATTTTTGTCTGATATTTTTCTTTTTTTTCGAATAGATGATCTAATTTTCGAAATATGTTTACTTTTAGATCTTCTAGAATGGTGAAGTTTAATCATCAACGATTTTGTTTTACAAGTTAATCTATGTATTTTTTTTTTTAATTTTGAATTTTCAGCTCTTAATAATTTGACTTCTTGAAAGTTGAAACTAGATTTTCCATGACC